TTTTATAAAAATTTTTAAGAATCTAAATATAAATTTTTTCAACACAAATTTAAAAAACTAAATAAATACTATTGGTGTGAAAGGTTTACAATATAGCGCTGTATATGCTTTATTAGTATACCTTACGTAGAAATTACCAAAAACGTATTTTACATTATGTGGTAATATTTATGAGTAAATACAATATTATATTACATTAGTCTGAGAATTTTATATAATCTTATCCAGGTTTCTTGGGTTGAATACATTTTTGTTAACACGTTATCATTGTCAAACATTTTTTATCCAGAAATATTATTATTCACTTGAAACTATCATACTCCTATGAATATTTTTGCAGCACGTTACGTGTGCTATTAATATATTTCTCAGTTTTCGTGAACAATTATTAATTTATTATTTTTACAGCAACTTGTTGCAGTTGGGATATTTTTTTTTTTAATTCATATTACGTACTCACATACTTACCCAAATCATAATTCTAGTAATAATACTTGTCATGTTGTTCAGTTATACACTAGATTCAAACAATTTTTTTTTTAAATTTGCTCTTTAGTATAATACAACTGTTTCTGCCGAGTGGACGCAAATAGTGAATACTGTATGATATACCACATAATCTGTTTTTATATTTTCGTCGAGAATGACGAAACCTATGTACGTTGTATGATATTATATAATACTAGCTGATCATGTGCACTTCGTTGCCCGTTAAATGTATCAACTCTATATGACTCAAACTTTGTTCAAATCGTTATTTAAAATTCGGTGTATGGTGTTCAAAATTTATCTTACCTATTCTGTTGCCTGGAATAAAAATTCTGATTCGCAGCAGTATATATCAGGTAGGCAATCTACCTGCGGTAGATCACAGACTCAGTTGTGTTTGTACGTATAAGTGTATGGTTTAACTCTAAAGTATCAAAGTTATACCAAGTTTATTTTGATATAATACGGTGGATTAATATAACAAATTTGGTTGCCCGTAAAAAATCGCAACTCTTAAAAAAATTATGGTTGTTCAAATCCTTTTGGGTTGTAACTTGCTGCGGTAAGTGCAACTCAACCACGCTGGTAGGCAATGTTTAATAATTCGATTTGATGCAAGCTTGTACCTGATCTGCCCGAATATAACCAATGGCAACCAATAATAAATAAATGCTAATTTCTACTGTGGACTGTAACAAATGGCAACTATTAATAAATAAAAATAAAATTTTCAATTTCCATCCTGAATCTCAATGTCCCTGTTTGAGCACCTATTAAAATGCGAATTTCTTCAAATCCTTTCTTATTGCACGGTGTAAATGTGAGAAGAACCTCTATTCCAAATTTCAAGTCATACATAGTCATGACCCGTGCATGTTATAAGAAATGCAGGTTTTAAATAAGTGATTGCCAATTAGTAGTAAAATAAAATAAAATTGTACTCATGCAGTTTTTCTGGAAAATGGAAAATGAAGTCGTAATAATAAATTAATAATAATAACAAAATAATAAACACAAAACTATAAAATAACTATAGAAACCATAGATTATACTGATTGTACATCGAGCTGATAAATAATAATAATTAGTAATAAATCAGTATATTAATTGCCATAGAGATTTCTACGTCTGCCATAGAGATGTCTAAGTCTACCATAGAGTAAAATATAAAGACAATGGTATCGAGTTCAAATCCCAGACATCAATAAATAGTTTTTGCAGTTTTTCTAATTATTCGGTTGACTTTTAAAAATTTTCTTTCATAAAAACCTTCTCCTGGCAATTACGTACATCTCAAAAAAAAAATTTGAGACAAATCGGACCAGCCGTTCTCAATTGATGAATTGTTATACATTTTTGGCTCCATTTTTATATATTATATAGAGATTAATATCAACGAATCTATCACAAAATCGGTATTTTTAATCCTAAAATACGTCAAAAAATGTAACAGGGATCGCAGTGTATATAATAATATTACAATATAACGAATACTGTACGTTTATATTGGGTATGACGATCGCGATGCGTTTTACCATCGATTCCTGTCAACAGCGGTGTGATCGATTGTCCATTATAATAATATTATAATATATAGACCGCTATCAGTTTCTGGAAAATGTCATCCACAGGATATTTAAAAAATCGTAATCGACGTTTATTAAAAAGTTAAGTTTATCTAGACGTGTATTATACACGGTAGGACAGCTGAAATCGTTCGCATAACTGATGATAACAGGTAATATTATACGTTTAAATCGTGTTTCGAAATTACGACCTGCACCCTCGCTCTGAGGTGAAATATTTTATATTATAACGAAAACGTTTCGGCGATGACGAAATTCATCCGAAAACCTTATGTACGAGTAGTATTATATAGGTACGGCAGTACACGTATGCGTAATGAGTATGTATATTATAATCAGTTTTTGAAGTCCCCTTTTTTCAGAGTTTTATAACAAAAAACGTCGTCTCACGCTGCTATTATTGTTTACAGATCGACGATCGTATAACCCGGATTTTAGATTAAACACGAAAGCGTTTGTGTATGTTTCGTGTTTTTAGTGTAACATAACGTGTCGCGACACCACCGCGTAATGTGATTTTATTTTATAAACGATAAGGCAACGACGTAAACCATTCAATATAGATACCGCGTTCGTATCGGAATTCACTTATCTCCATCGTGAAAGAAAATCACGAGATTGTTGTGTTCGTGCAGTTACGATTCACATTATGTCCGTGATCCTTTGCACCGTGTCAACGGAGGGTTAAAGGGTAAAATATACAGATGACCTGGAAATGTACAAATGTATCGTGTGTTATATCAATTAATTTGTTTTCATTTAAAATGTATAATATGTACATTAAGTACATTAGATCAGAGAAAAAAATTTGACGTGAAGTTCGCATGATCAGAGAAAATATCCATTGGATATAACTCTACAAATATAATATTATTATACAATATACACAATTATTGTTATAGTACGTGATCTAGATATTATCCAAGTTTAAGTATTGTTTTTTTAATACAATTTACTATAGATATGAATAACAGTTAGGTTAAACCTTAAAAGGTCTCTGAATCATTTCTTTTTAAGCCAACAGGTTGCATTGGCTAGGTCTGTAATATATAGAGAAGTTAAATTGTATATGAAAGGATTTAAATGATTGTGTAATTTTTTATGGAATCGTTTGTAGAATTCAGATTTAGCTTGATAAGGAATGGTCATCATGTTGAGGTCATTATAGAGGGTTCGATTACAAACATACCACAGAGCATTGGTTATTGTTCGGAGGGATATTGACTGGAAAGATTGTATAATTTTTATACTTGAATATTTGGATGCTCCCCAAAATTGGATTCCACGATGGACGCCAAAGGGAGGACGAGGTGCTTGTATACTAAGATAATATACTAATAAATAAAACTATAATGATATAAAATCTAGATCTTTGTAAGCCACCAAACGCGTTATAAACGTACCTACTCCAAACGTGTTACCTATAATATTATTAATTTACTTTGAAATTAAAATTGTTTTTATGTTGTTTGATTGGTAGGTACTTGCCCAATAATATATGCTGTATAGGTACCTATATTACCAACGTATTTTTATGTTTGTTAAATAACTCTGTCTATAAAATATGAAAATGTCCTTGCCATTATACTTTAGACTAATGCATTTCTAGTTACATACAGGGCGTTTCTATCGTGTGTGTGTGTGTGTTTCGGTACCAGTCACGCTGGGACAGTGAATATAGATGATTTATTACAAACACAGACTAATTATTTTAATTTCGTCGTGAAATTTACTGTAAAAACGTCCTATACGACGTCTGAGCTTAATATTTAATAATAGACCCAATAGAGCAAAGGTACTACGTAAATCATCAAACGTGCAGTAGACAGTATATTATAATATTATGTATTATTGTTGGACGAGTGACGATCGTTCAGACGAATTTTAACTACCATCGAATCATTTCTTCGTGATATAAATGCCTTCGATAATTATAATAACGACGTTCAGACCTTATGAGACGAGTATTTCCCTATCGGTTTATTATGATTTCTTCGCATTTCACCTCCATTTTTGTATTTTTATTGTCCATGCAATAACGCGGTGTACAAGTGTAAGTTAAAGCCTAATTCGTTGTATTTAATTTAACGACGCCCATAATGTTGAAATATTATTATACGTGTAATATTTTATAATTATGTATATATACAGTGCAATAATATTATACATTATACTTTGCATTTATTTCCTACTAATTAGTATGCAGTATGGTAACCGGCGGCTTACTTTTATAAGCACCTCGTTTCAATTATTTATTGTTATTATTATTATTTTTTAATTAAGTTTTTTCTCCCTCCGAACGTTACACTCAGTCCGTATTACGTAGATTTGTGTATTAATTAATTTTTATCAATTTTTAGTAAGTACCGCAAACTTCCATTACAATTGCTATTCGGCCAATTACGGTAGATAAATAATTCTGTCTGAGATTGTATATCAATAAGTTATAGTTATATATAATGTATATTGTATATATATATATGCATATGATCGCTTAGAAACGGCCCCTATATGAGTATAGTCTTTAATACGGAAAGGTTCTATTTCAAATGTATCTATATAGCACGCCTTCCAAAAATGAAAAATTGCTTAGAGTCCTTTCGATTAATTTCGTTAAACCGACAGAGGTCAGATCTCGTTCCAGCAGCAGGTATATAATAACCCATGCTTTATATACCTACACATTTAACAAAATCGGCGATAAATTAAACCGTGTCCTGCAAGTATGTATAAATGTACGACTGATATAGTGATATTAATAATAATACGATATGTCCCTCGGAACCAGATTTTATTATACAGCTTATAATATGTGGAGTCCTACGAAATAATAATATATACTCGTAATAAAACCGGCCGTTATTATTATTTTTTTGTCGTTTGTCCCTCTTAACCAGTAACCGGATTTTATGTTTTATTCTCTAGGTCGTTGGTATTAATGGCCATTATAGTGGGTACGTCATACTATGTGGACCGGAGTCGAGGCGACTCGACAGTTATTCAACCGGCCTCGGTGGCGGACACGTTGTTGCAGCTCAGATGGCCATTGCAAAGTCAGTGTCAAGTGTTTTTATTCGACTCCTGATATACGACACAATTACGTCTTATATATTATATTATAACAATAATATATTTGTGTGTTTTATTTTGTTTATGCTTTTAATTTCGCCATGGCGCGGGGAAAGCAGACGAAGCAGACGAGGGAATAACTACTGTGACATCAATTATTCGGAGGACCGTTGTTATAAATGCGACCGGGGACGACTTAATATCCGCGGTGGAGGGAGGCTACAAAAGTTTGAAAGCCAAAGAGGATTTGGAAAAAAACTTTCCGACAATTGATGGCGGGACTCCATCATACCGTCATCAGCAAGTGATGAAGTCCGGCCCCGAATCGATAGGAATCGCGAGGAACGGTTACGTCGAAAACATCGCGACTGAAAAATTGAGGTCGGCGCTACGTCGTCAGACGACCCCTCGGCAAGCACCCACCCACCCACCCACCGCATCACACACAACCACTACCCCTCTCACACGCACGACCCCTTCACGACCAAATCCCACTTCTTCCAGAAACGTTTCGAGGAAGTTATTGCTTGTTTCTAGTGTTATTTTCTCTCTGCAGACCGTATTATCTTCCCATCCTGCACTCTATTGTAATAAATATATTTTAACATTATTATATATTATTATGTAGAGTTCCAAACTAGATTTTTATTCAAATTATTCCCATCTCCACTCCCACACCGACTTACACCCGCGGCCTTGTCATAACATGGCTACAATGACGTCAGGGGTCGTACATTAATTATCGCCGCTTATGTTATAATATTTCCGCGAAACGACCAAGTTGATATAATTTTATAATGTGCGCGTCTACTACCACGTTCGAACGGTTAGGTTTTTGAGTTTTTCGCAATGAATGTTTTTGCGGAGAACGCGATTTCACGATACACGAGTGAAGAGAACTAATGATGACGACGACGACCAAGACGACGACGATGATGGCAACGATGATGATAATGATGATGATGATGATGATAATAAATGGAAAAGGGAACGAGCAGAGGACCTCTTGCAACCCGATATGGTTTTTTTGGGTTCGGTCACTGGGGACGTACATATGCTATTAAGTCCAACGAAACAACACCGCGCTAATAAAACAAAACAAAAAAAAATACATATAAAATTCTACCTTCATTACGACTACGTGCGCATAAACCATATTAATTTATTCATTTTTTTTTTTTATGTGTACCTACACTCTTTTATTAGATAAACATTTTTAAAAGCACTTTTTGCACAATTTTTTTGGTTTTTAAATATCGAATAGCTCGGAATAGCTGGCGTGGACCTAAAATAATTTTTACGCCAAATAATATCTCGGGAATTATTTTCTTTATTAAATTTAACACGGTTACCTATATTATATTATAATAATTTGCATTTAGTTTTGAACAGAATACAACGCCTTTAATAATAACAAAATTCGAGCCGAATACGATGTACCTACCTACCTACCTATGTCCTATATTCGAAAGTCTGGACGTTCTCTGAAAACATATTTAATTTATTTATTCGCCCCGAAACTAGACAATATTAACGCATGTCATCAAAATCGTAAACGAATATAGAGATCACTTTGATATATAAGAGTAAAATAAAGGGTTAATAGCATATTGTTACAAAAATCATATCATAGGGACGTTCCCGAGGAAGCTCATATTGTGATAATCAAAGGCCTGCACGCAGTAGAGTGAAATACTGAAATCAAATTGTAAATATCGTTAGTGTATAATGTATTATAATATTATGGCTATATTATAATAATATATAGTTAGCAGCAGTGATGTTGTTTGCATATAATATTGAATGACGAATTAATTGATACCTGTTCGGACCGCAAATATTGATCTCATTTACAATCACCGAATGCGATATAATATTATATAATATATATCTTATTAAATGTTTGTATAATATATTATATTAATAATATATTGCGGGTATATTTACCTATGTATGGATTTACCCAATAATGTGATTGGCGACGACTCTGATTTTCGAATTTGACATTTTGAACCGTATCGTCCTCCCCGTTATAAATTTTAACATTTTATCATTATATAGTTACAACGACTTACGGGTCACAGCTTTATGTGGTTTTTATAAACTGAGACTTATTTATTTTGTTTTACCGTTCCGAATGGGAGTTGGTTTTAAACGACACCGACAAAATCAACCGAAATCGATCAAATTGTTACAAAGAGTTTGCCGAGAAGAATCTGTGATGGTTTTTTTTTTTTTGACATTTTAAAAAACTGAGAAATTCGAAAAATTTAAATTCCCCGTCCGAATAAACCCTCGATATAGTAATTATAAATTAATTAATTTGTTATAAAGCTAACGGCGGGCGTCACAATGTCGGACGTCATAAACTTACCATCTCATCATCGGCCGATTTAAGTATAGTGTTCGAAATTTCCGCCGCATCCGTCCACCTCGCACGATTTAGACTTTCTACCATTGCAGACTGCACCGCATGGGATGCCATAGCGCACAGAAACCAATCCAAAAACCACTTGGGTATTTAAAATAAAAAAATTTTTTGTCTCTCGGTGATTTAGGCTGCTATTAAACATCACTAAGGACCAGGATGTTACGATATTGGTGGTCAACGTGACCGTTTTCAACAACGCCGAGTGCACGAGTCCCGAACCGGTGATTTGCCCTCTCCAGAGTCGTTATCGGACTGTAGAAGGCATTTGTAACAACATCTTGGAGCCGCTCAAAGGCGCCGCTCTGATGCCGTTCCACAGAGTGTTGCCGGCCGACTACTCAGACGGTACTTACACGTTATTATTATTATAAGTTTAATAATTTACTATCGGGCGTGATAAGACGATATACTATTTTAACTACGTCGTATAGACGAGAGGGCTATGGATGAGTTGTGGCCCCGACGTGTTGTTTACGACGTCGGAAAACGATGAATTGCGTCTATAGATAACCTTTTAGCTGTAGGTGAGTGGCGTCTCAAATAACTTTCGCTGATAATCGATAATATAGTTATTACGTTTAAATAATCCACATAATAACGCTGCCGGTTTCATCTACAAATTTGAATAGCAAAATTACGTTAAGTACAATTATTAATAAACTGCTGCAGGTTATCCCATAATTACATATTTTTTTTTATTTTTTTATTTATTAATAAAATTAGACATTCTTAGCCGTCGCAGGCTATCTATATCTATGGATAAAAGACAATATCAGTTTGTAGCTATTTTAAAAGGATAATTATAAATCTAAAATATGGACAGATGTATGCAATTTAAGCTAAATAAAACTAAATAAAATAAATATTCTAAATATTACAATATATGAATACGAAAAATGCATCGGCAAAAAACATAATTTTATAAGCTTAATAAACAAAAAAAAATATTAAGGAATAAAAAAATTACACATTTTTTGGAGACGACTAAATCTCCCCGTGGTGTCTCCTGAGTATCGAAAATATGAAATTTTAATTATTGTTTGGCCACATCTTTAATATCAATCTGTTAATTATTTAAGTATTTAAGATACTTTAAGTTATTTACTCATATATATTTTGTTATTGTTTTGGGTACTTAAACACGTTTCCTCTTTGAATAAATAAAATCGCATATTACAACAATTATAGAGAATATTAATTTTGAAGTTATGGCAGTGTCATATTATCGATTTCTCTAAATATTGTCTCAAAATAATTTAATATCCTTTTAAATGTATATTTTATTTTTAAAGTCAAATAAACATTTAAACAATAATAAAATACATAAACCGATGATAATATATTGAGTCTTCAAATTATTATCCTCTATAATTGTTGTAATAGTAAATAGGTGATTTTATTCTATTACTCAAAAATTATAAAAGGATTTTACGTGAATGCGTTTTATCTATGTTGAGCTTGGGTCTGAGAGAGACAACAAATATGTTACTGACATATCCTATCCATCACATTTCCAGTCACGATTTAAGTTATCGAAAGAAAAACAAATAAAACGTTAATCATCGAAATTTAAACGAGAGCGTATGTTAGTCGTAGACAGTTCGCAATTTTGCACAAAATTTTTTAAATTTTTTTTATAATCCTTTATATTTATGTTCTCTCAATTTTTTCGAAAATATAAATAAGTATAAGAGGTACCTATGAAATTATTCAATATTCTGCACGATATAAATATAAATATAAATACTATAACAATAGTTTATATTGTTTACAAAATATTTATTACTCAAAAATTAATTTAATGTATACATATAATAGTTTTACCCTTGTCACTCTATTTTTTTTTTCTTTTGCTTCATTACAACAGATGTCTATTATTCTTCAACATAATTGAGAAAATATTCTTCTTAGGAATATAAAATCAAAAATGTACTGTTTATTAGCACAAAGTCCTACTAAGCATAAAAAGTGCTTAAAAAAAAAACATTTCCTCCTAAAACTAGTGCAGCCTCTACGTCAAAAACGTGTTTTCAATTTATTTTCAAATCCTTTTTCATAGAGTACCTAATAATTAATAAGTCGTCATAAAAATTGAAAAAAGAAATTAATATTTGTGGACCTTTTGAGTATCAACAAAAACCTATTGACCTATATTCTATATGCTCAAACATTCAAGTAAATATACAACGGATTCCCTCCAGTAATCCAGAGTTTAAACATTTCTCACTGTCATTTTTCTACTACATTCGATACTGTCGTCGTGACACTCACGCCAACAGTTTTTTGAAACCAAAACTAAATTGAATTATTATCAAGTGTAATCCGTGAGCTAACCACTACAGCGGTCCGATCGAAAAGGTTTTTTTTAATCAAATTAAAGAGTCATTATTATTGTTCCTGCTACATATTATGTACGAATGTGCGTGAGTGGTACGCATAAATTATAATAATACTAATATTTGATTGCGTAGGTTTTTGAGATCCCCCACGAAATTAAAATTATAAAAAGTTGGAAAAAATGTAATCGGAAAAAAAATAGCAACCGAAGCGTAACGAATTATTACGAGGTGTAGGAATTCTGATCAACGAAAACAGAAAAATATTTTAAATTCGATAATTTACTTTAAAAAAATAAATATATAATTATAATCGTGCTGGAAAACCCTCTACTAATCTAAATCATGTTGGAACGACATAAATTGTTAATAAAAAAATGTGGGCAAGTGGATGTCGCTCTGCTGTATTGTAGGTTACAAGTGGGTCACCCGTCACTGTAATAGATCAATTGAATTGTGTTCAATTTGAATTCAATGATATAATATCAGTATATACGAGAACCGATTCTGAGTGAAGACGGCCAGTCAGCCTATGATTTATTACTAAATATATTTGATGATATTATTGTGAATAAAGTAATTTATTCAACTATTTACGTGGAACCTTGTTTTAAATTTCCAATCCTTAGCTATAAAATTTGAACATTTTATAATTTTTTAACTACAAAATCATTTCTGAATTTTAAATTTGATCAATATTTTGTCAAAATGAAAACTAAAAAATTTGTGACTTTGTATTTTTAATATTTTTCTACTGTCATTGTAACAATATAATATTAGGAGCCTTGCATTAAATTTAAACCTGTCTTACCCAACAAATCACATTTTATTGACATTCGTAGAAAAAAAAACCTAGCAAACTGAAAATGTACTTAAACTTAATGTTCAAAAAAAAAATCAAAATATTTTTAAAATGTTAACGTGTATAGAAAATGCTAGTATAAACAACCAGTGAAAATGTCATGTATATTATATAGGTACGTTCGTTTGTTGTAGAGTTACACCAAAATCCAAAAGCAATTAGTTCCTGTTTTCTCTTAATTTTTATGTTGTTTTTCCCGGCGCTTTTAAAAACTATTGGGAATTTTAAATTTTAACCTCCCAAATGCACCAACTAGATTTACTTTCCCATCGAAAATACCTCTATTTCAAAGCGATAATGATCGTTATTTCATTCCGTCAACTTTTTAACGAGTGAGTTTTAAAAAATTAAGCAAAATACGCAAATTAAAACCATCGCTATAAAAACAAAAAAAAAAACAATAAAAACAGAGTAAGTGTACTTATTCGCATACACTTAAACATTGTAGGTAAATGTATTTTTTTTTTCCGGTGAACACGTGTACGTAGGGTTTTTAAAGTAATGACATATGATTTCAACTACCTACCATAACAAGAAAAAAAACTGGGAAAATGTATTACTGAGGTTTAGGTACACCATAATAATTATTATATTTCCGTTTTTTTTTTTTATATAAATGACAAACGTTTAAAGATGAGAGCTGCGTACATGTGGTGATTATATTTTTATTCAACAGCAACTCGTTCTTTTATTTTTTGTCATACCCACACGAGCAAGTTTTCGTTTGAAGTGAAAACACAATTTCAGGGAAATACCTATATTATTATGTTCAATATAGAAAACCCTATACATAATAGTCACGACGATTATATAATCACATTTGGGTACGGATAAAATTGTATTATTTATTTATTGAATAAATATTATATAGCAACTTTTATTAGTTATAGTTTTTAATAGTTATTAATTTTAACAATTAATTGCATTGCGACAATAATAACTATTACAACGCCGCAGGTGTGAATAACGATAAAGAGCCGCAGATAAAATGTATAGGTACAGTAGCCAGGGTTGGACAAGATACTGAAATTTTGTAGTTTTATGAATAAAGTTTTTGTTTATGAATTTCACTGTGACTTATATCCTTTATTCATAAAAATATAGGCTAGGTTAGATGGCACATAATAATATAGAATAATCGAAAAATAATGACCCCAAACAAATTTTTTTGTTAACAGAATTAACTACATACGTGGAATCTTGTTTTAAATGTTCAATACTTAGATATAAAAGTTCAACATTTTATACATTTTTAACTTCAAAATAATTATTTAATTTTAAATTTGATAAATGTTGTCAAATTTTTATCTATAAATGCTTATAAAAAAAAAAATGGTGCCTGTGTATTTTTAATATTTTTCAACTGCTATTGTAACAATATATCAGGAGCCTTGTATTAAATTTTTACACTTTTTGTCCCAACACATAAAACGTTATTGATATATATATAGAAAAAAATAATAAAAAAATTGAAATATGAAATTTTCCGTAAACAGCTCAAAAAGAGTCAAAATATTTTGAAAATTTTATCAGGTATAAGAATTAATAAAATAAACATTCGGTGAAATTTTTATGTATCTACAGTTATTCGTTTTTGAATTACAACAAAATATGGAAATCGCTACATGAGAAATCGATGAATATCCAATGTTGTAAAAATTTGAATTTCAAACACTCATAAAAATTTAATTTGACTTTCTTATAGACATTTTTTTTTTTTGATAAAGGTAGTAAATCTTATAAGGAATCTTGTATTACATTTTAAAACCTTAGATTTAAAAAGAAAATTTTTACGAATTCTTAACTCAAAATAATTTGCTAATTTTCGTGATTTTTTCAATATTTTGTCAATTTTTGAACTTATTTAAAGTTCTTTAAAGCTTATGGAAAAAACTGTGACTAAGGATTTTAATATTTTTCATCTGCCTTTGAAACAATATACTAGGAGCCTTGTATTAAATGTTCAAGCTTTTTTAACCAAAAATAAAATTTTATTGATATTTTTAGAAATAAAACTAAAAAAAAAATGGAAAATGAAAATGTTCCTAAACAGTTCAAAACAATAATCATAATATTTTGAAAATGTCATCGTGTATAGAAAATGCATATATAAACAACTAGTGAAAATTGCATGTATATACATTATACATTCAGAGTTACACCAAAAACCAAAAAATGCACCAACTAGATTGACTTTCCCATTGAACAAGATACTGTTGAAGAAAATCGAAGTAGTTTTACTGCCCCGAACCGTGATGACGGACACAAAAATAAAAAATAAAACACACATCATTGTAAAATCAATACATTCATTGTTCCACTCGGAATCTAAAATATAGATTGTAGAGTGTATGGATGTTAAAAAAAAAATAGAAAAATGTAGATCAGTCCGATGCGTATATTATGATGATGTGGAAATATCTAAATGAATTAAAGTGACTCGATAACAATAAACGGAAGTATAGGAATAACCACATGATGGTAATGAGGGTCCCTCGAAGGGATTCGCTCTGTATAATATCCTGATACGCATTATGAATTTCAATTCTACCAATAACGCGCACATAATATAATAATATTATATTATAATGACGTGATCTCGGGGGGCGCGGATGACGATTGTTTTAAAAACGTTTTATTATATTGAGCCTTAATAATAGCGTTAATGATTCTGTTTTATTGACTGGCAGGCGTGTGGAGACCGAGGAAAGCGACGGACGGTTCGGATTTGCCGTCGGCCAAACGAGTCAGCGAGGAGGTGCACCGACCTTCGTACGAAGAAGATCACGATTTCACCGTCATGCTGGCGGTTTGGGGTCAGTTTATGGATCACGACATTACCGCCACCGCGCTGAGCCGAGGTGAATAACACAATAATTCAATTAAAATATGTTCGGTAAAATAATGAATAACTACGATATAATATCATAATAATAATATAGGTACCTTTATTACATTATTATGAATTATTATTAACAAAATAACACTCACCCCTGTAATATTTTTCGATAAACGTTTCAAACGTTTTAGTTTTAAAACAATTTTTGGACTGGGAAAAGTAAGAAAATGCAAATATAAACAACCAGTGAAAATTTCATGTATATACATTAATTTGTTTTAGAGTTACACCAAAAACCAAAAAATGCACTGACTAGATTCACTTTCCCATTGAACAAGATACTGTTGAAGAAAATCGAAGCAGTTTTCCTGCCACAAACCGTGATGACAGGCACAAAAATAAAAAAATAAAACACACCTCATTGTAAAATCAATACATTCATTGTTCCACTCGGAATCTAAATTGTAGAGTGTATGGATGTTAAAAAAAAAATAGAAAAATGTAGATTAGTCCGATGCAAAGTCCGATGCGTTTATGATGATGTGGAAAAATCTAAATGAATTTTCGGTAAAATTACCAACGACGATATAACATCATAATAATATAGGTACCTATATTACATTATTATGAATTATTATTAACAAAATAACACTCGTCCCCGTAATATTTTTCGATAAACGTTTCAAACGTTTTAGTTTTAAAACAATTTTTTGACTGGGAAAAGTAAGAAAATGCAAATATAAACAACCAGTGAAAATTGCATGTATATACATTAATTTGTTTTAGAGTTGCACCAAAAACCAAAAAATGCACCGACTAGATTCACTTTCCCATAGAACAAGATACTGTTGAAGAAAATCGAAGCAGTTTTCCTGCCCCAAACCGTGATGACAGGCACGAAAATAAAAAAATAAAACACACCTCATTGTAAAATCAATACATTCATTGTCCACTCGGAATCTAAAATTTAAATTGTAGAGTGTAGATGTTAAAAAAAATAGAAAAATGTAGATTAGTCCGATTCAAAGTCCGATGCGTTTATGATGATATGGAAAAATCTAAATGAATTTTCGGACGACGATATAACATCATAATAATATAGGTACCTATATAATATATTACATTATTATGAATTATTATTAACAAAATAACACTCGCCCCCGTAATATTTTTCGATAAACGTTTCCAACGTTTTAGTTTTAAAACAATTTTTGGACTGGGAAAAAGTTTCGGCGATTTTTTTTTTTTTAATATCTATCGTATAAATAACGGAAAACTTTTAGTTTTGTGTATTTTTAAAAGCTGCTTTTTGTGCGGTTCATATAATTATTATAAACAAGTTGTGCGTGGGCTTCGGCCTTTCGTCCGCATTAACTTGATTATATAAATATAAATGTTATTTTTTTCAATAACTAAATCATGCCTAAAACTGTTTAATCAACGAACAACTATTCCGAATCGTAATAACATCACGGTAAAACTAAAATAAAAAATTAATGAGCATTTTAATATTTCATTTGAATTAAAATATGTAAATTTGCGATGAAGCTTGCGATAAAGGTATATATTAATTGTAAAACAGTTATTGGAATGACAAAATAAAAGTAATTATATAAAATGTGTTTCAAAAGCCAGAAGCGTTGTCTAAAATGTTAATTTGATTTTTTAGTGGATGGTAGGTAAATAAACAATATTACGTGAGAAAAATATGACGTTTTCGGATGATTTAAACTCGAATCCGCCCTTAGAGTATAAATTAAATTCTACTTAAACATGATAAAAAAAAAGCTGTACATACACCTGGGGTAGGTATCGTATTAATAATTGTCCTCCAAAACTTAGTTATGTATTTTTGCGTATTATTTTAATCAAAGTTTGAAACACTTTTAGGGAAACATTTACTACATGTTGTCGGGACGAAATAAATTACTTTGACTTCACACGACTTTTTACATTCTAAAAAGTTTAACTTACTGGATCCCCTCGAGAGAAGTCATATAATTTTAGACGTAGTGTAGTCAAATATTGTGACTCGAATTGTAAAAAATATAGACATTCTGTATATTGGTTGAAACTAAGTTATGTCTCGTACCCTAGAGGGACCATGGGAATTTAAACAAAATTTATAATAATTTACTCGCAGTTTATTAGGTACATGTCAAGCCATTTTTTCCTGACATGTACCTATTATGTACATAAATGTATAGATTATATTCTAATAGAAATTAGAATAAATATACATAATTTTTCTAGTTTTAAACAGTGTATTGTCATCGACGATTGGAAAATTCTTCTTAGGTATACTTATGTTAGGTACAATTTTTCAATAAACAACAATTTTATTAGATGTATGCCCAATTCTATTTTGAACTAAATAAATTGAATTTCATAACTAATATTATATTACGTTATTAATATTAGTAATTATGAAATGTTGACCTATGCAGTACGAGGTAAATTTAAGTTAATCTGCAAGTTCAGACCTACGTGATAATAACTGATAGCTGTAGCCCATAAATTTGTTTGAATGAAATTGTTTCGACTTTCAATCAACTTTAACGGTCTTTACAAAAATATATAACAATTTTGTCACTATTAGTATAATTTGATCCTTAAGATATTGAAACATAGTGAAATAGTATTATAACTTAAAAGTTATTACAAATGTATTTTTTAGTCATACTAAACATAGGACATATAAAAAAACATTTAAAACATCGGTTGGTACCTAGGTATATAACACATCATTGTTAATATTCGAAAATTTTGAAAACAATAGTTTTATTAAAAACACATTTATGCAATCAATAAAAAAAAAAAGTGGGTAAGTGGATGTCACTCTGCTGTACAGTAGGTTAAATTTGGATCAATGTATAAAGGATTGTATTGAACTTGAATTCAATGATATATAATATCATTGTATAAGAAAAACGATTGTGAGCGGAGACGGTTTGTCAGTCTAGATATTATTATTATTATTTGTTATATAATGTAAGTTGAATTTATATTATAATAATAGGTATTATTATTTTTTATTTGTTTTTATGGTGATAAACAAAGCGTTAGGAATTAAAATCCCATTTTTAGCGGTTTTTCGTAATTTGTCGGTAGTTTTTTCTGTGCAATTAATTAAATATTGAGAAAATCAAAAAATGAAGTGTCTAAAGTACCTACTATCTTGATCCAATTTGCTAAAAGATTAAGGTACTATATGTTGAAATCGAAGCACCCCTTCTGGTAGGTATTTTGTAAACAGGATATAAAAAAGATAAAAAAAATAAAAATAATAAAAAATAAACACCATTGTAAAAACCAATAGCTTCCTCGCTCCACTCAGAATCTAAAAAGGCAAAGATTCCAGACATTTAAATCAGGGTTATTATAAAAACAAGTTTTTGCGGTACATGTCGCGTGTGTCTACACGTTCTAAGCATATATTTTTAAAAACTTCCTGGTTCCAACCATAAAATGATTTTTTTTCGAGAAACTACTTTTAGCAGAACAATACATTTTCGATGAACGACAGTTATGTGCGAGAACCTATTAAAAAAAAAAAACGAATTTTAGTTAATCCATAACAAACAATTCATGATGGAGTACTTCGACTTGGAGGTCTTTTATCGTTATTATATATTAACTAATATCATTTTTCAATATTAAGGTTATTGTTCAACTCATGTAACAGATTGCCTGGATAAAAAATTATTTTTTTCAAAAAATCCTTACAATTAATAGGTCACACTTATAATACAAATGTATTATTATTATACTGCAGCGTTTGAACATTTCGTGAAATAATATAATAATAATATTATTATTGAATTATATAAGATTTACTGGAAAAAAGTATAAATTTAGCGGTCACCGACCATAATTATACCAATGTGTTAAACGTCGTGTTTTTATCTTTATCAAACGATATATTTTTATTTTTTAAGAATATTATTCATAATACGTACCTTGATTATAAAGTAATAAATATAGAAAAAGTTGGTTCTCATAAAGAAGTCTATAATTTTCTCCGTCTCGATCTTTACGACGTGTACCTAGTAGTAAACAGAAACAAACCAAAAGTAAATCAATGGTTTTTCCACGACTGTTTTTAAAATAATCATTCGGTAAAAAAAAAAAAAAAACGAATTCGATATTTCGCGATTTTGGGAAATGCTTCATTATGACATTATCGATGACTGCAATGTGCACCACGAATAGCACAATACATTATATTTTATTAACGAACAATGCGCTGTTTACAGGGCACAATGGAAGCGCTATTTCGTGCTGCGGATCGGTGGGCAAAAACGTTACGCACCCCGAATGTTTTCCAGTGATAGTGCATGGAGGTGATAACAACTGCGGGAAATGCATGGAGTTTGTGCGGTCTTCGCCTGCGTCTACCTGCGGTTTCGGTAAGTATATATTTTTCGGGGCTAGGTAAATTGAGTCCGAGATAAGTTTGGTACATTTTGAAAGCGGTAAATTGAGTCCCGGGAAAAAAAACAGGTAGGAGGTAAGTATTGAGTCCAGGGAAAAAAATGGTAGTAAGTAAATATTATTTATACAAAGATATAATATTTAGATTTGTATAAATTAATTTAAAAAAATTATTGTCGTTGAAAATTATCATTATTATTATATAATATATATATATTATGTACTTGGTAAAAACTTCATTGAAATTGATTTAATAAACTCAAATCGGGTTATAACATTACTGGTGTATTTAGTCATTTGCTCCCTTAGGTTTTGTTCCTTATCGAGCGTGCTTTTCTTTTTTTGATTTTTACTTCTTAATTTTATTTGTGTCTTTGACTAAACTTCAAGTAATTCATCAATAAAGTTAAAAATATTCGGATGTGGACTGTAAACGCGTCGGTTTAATCGCGAATGAAACGATTCACAACCATTGGTTGTACATACGGTTGTAGCAGCAAATGCGGACCAAATATTCGGGGGAAATTCGTGAGATAGTAAGATACCGTCTTATAAGTAATAAGTATATACCATGTGTCCCAAAAATCAGGGGCCACTTTACTACTCATTACCATGTAAATATTTTTCAATTCTGTTTGCTGGACATTAAACTAGACTAATGGATCGTAAATTTCTTTGACTCACAATGTTTTTAACTCATGTATCTTGCGCATGCGCAATAAAACTTACATTTTTTTAAATGGCAACCCGTAATTTTAATATCATATTCGGGTTCATCGATTTTTTTCAAGCCATTTTGATGCATTAACTTATGTCCTAAACCCAAAATTGACTAAACTAGAGCTAAGTAGATATTAAATAATTTAAAAATTCAATTTAATTAATTTTTTTTTCTAAATGTAGGTACTTATTTTTTTCTTAGTTTATTGAATAGTTTATGTCTGTAATTTCTGTAAATTAAATTGTAAATAAAAATGTATTGTAATGGTAAAAAAAATAAAATAGAAATGTTGTTTCTTGAAAATACATGTTTAAACTATGTTATTTTATAATGCGTAATAATAAAATAAGATATTAATTCATAAATAGTAAATAGTTAGGTAATTAGTTTAATAATAATAATTTTGATTGTTTGTTTGTTTGTTTCATGGTGTTTAGAAGAAAAAAATAAGTACGTACAGTTAGAAAAAAAAAAATTAATTAAATTGAATTTTTAAATTATTTAAATTCTACTTAGCTCTAAGTTAGTCAATTTTGGGTTTAGGACATAAGTTGATACATCAAAATGGCTTGAAAAAAATCGATGAACCCGAATATGATATTAAAATTATGGGTTGCCATTTAAAAAAATGTAAGTCTTATTGCGCATGCGCAAGATACATGAGTTAAAAACATTGTGAGTCAAAGAAATTTACGATCCATTAGTCTAGTTTAATGTCCCGCAAACAGAATTGAAAAATATTTACATGGTAATGAGTAGTAAAGTGCCCCCTGATTTTTGGGACACACGGTATATATATATAATGTACTTGGTAAAAACTTCATTGAAATTGATTTAATAAACTCAAATCGGGTTATAACATTACTGGTGTATTTGGTAATTTGCTCCCTTAGGTTTTGTTCCTTATCGAGCGTGATTTTCTTTTTTTTATTTTTGCTTCTTAATTTTATTTGTATATGTCTGAACTTCAAGACGTAATTCATCAATAAATTTAAAAATATTCGGATGTGGACTGTAAACGCGTAGGTTTAATCGCGAATGATACGATTCACAACCATTGGTTGTACACACGGTTGTAGCAGCAAATGCGGACCAAATATTCGGGGGAAATTCGTGAGATAGTAAGATACCGTCATATAAGTATATAATATATAGTATATACCAAGGGTGGCCAAACAGTCGAACGCGATCAACTGGTCGATCTTAGACGATTTCTAAGTCGATCCCCATTGTCAGAATTTATTAATTATTCTTATATATTTGCAATTTAGTAGATACACTTGTTAAATACATATTTTTCGGATTAACCTGTTAGTGTGAAATGGCATTTTCTCACATGAAAGTTATAATTTATAGGAGCTGAGTAAGTTAGTTTTAGACCTTAGCACAGCGTCTTCGCTTGGTCATGATGTGCAATGACACGCTTCTACATCAACAATAAAATGTTAATACATTTTAAAATTACTTAAAAATTTAACATGAAACACTCATTTTGGATGACTTAACACTTTAATTTTATTCATTATATAAGTATGTTTATTATTAATATTAAATAATTTTTTTACATTAGTCGATCCTAAAAGAAATGATATACCCTCAATAGATCTTAATCAAAACAAGTTTGACCACCCCTGGTATATACGTACGAACAAGTCCTTACTTATCGGTACCTATCTTAATTGTGTTTAACCAAAGGTACGATGTTACAAAGTTATGGACTTTTATTGACTGTGAATGCTTTGGTGTTGTTAAGAGTGTGTCGTTGGGGAAAAATATAATCATTATTTAAAAATCGTTTTTCCCCGGGACTCAACTTACCTACTACCTTATTTTTTCCGGGACTCAACTTACCTACTACCTGTTTTTCTCCGGGGCTCAATTTACCGAGTTAGGGTCATTTGGGACTCAATTTATCAATCCCGATATTTTTCAAAGCAGTTTTTAAAACGCCGAGAGTCGACGGTAACGATAATAATTCATAATTTATATAATACGCGTACATATATATTTGTAAGAAAAAAATTGTTGTAAGGTATAGAGGACGGCAAAGTCGTTTTTAAAAATGTCAATGTGAAATTAGTAGTTATATTATTTTGTTCGCGACGATTTTTGAGACGCTCGACTAGCACATTCTTCACGAAAACTACAAAATCATTGTCCGCGAACAAGTACATAAATTTTATGATGTTTCAGTGACATGTTTAAAAATAAATTTGGGGGGGGGGGGGTTAAACAGTAAAGTCGTTTACATCGGTATAGGTCTGAAGAATATCGCCGGAAATCGAACATTTGTGGACAGTCTCCGTGGTAATTTTAACCGACTGCCAAGAACATAATAATATTATAATTATTTATAATCATAATATTATTTAGGTAATACTGTGATCCGATAGCGAGTAACATTATATTGTTACAGTATGCTGTTTTCGTTTTGTTTTTAGTCAATATGATGTGATTTCAGCGATAGACATCCTGATACACAGTGATTCACCAAGCATTTTCACGCTCTTTTTTCCTTTTTAACAATACATTTAATCAAAATCTGATTTTTTGAAATATTTCAATAAACAGGGTACTAAAAGAACATATTTTAAAAAGTTGTTGGTATTATTTTGGTCATTTTTTTTAAAAAATTTTAACGTATCTAAATCAAAATTCAAAATTGTAGTTTTGAGTTATTTAACTTTATGAACCAAGGACAATGTAGGTTCATGATAATGGATTTGAAAGATATAGGAGCATGGTGATTCAAACATTTTAGTATTTAGGTAAATATAATTATATTAACATATTTTATAATTTGTAAACATTTTGAAAGTATAATAAATACTAGATCAAAAATATTACATCTATTTTATATTGTTTAAAACCATTTTAATCACTATTTTCCTAAGTATTAAAATTTCAACAACTGAGAAACTAGGCCATTGTTTGAATTTTGAATTCCCTAGCGGTAGGCGTATATCAAAATTTTCAAAAAAATTATTCACTACACGATTTATTTACAGTAGAAAGGGGATGTTCTCATTAGAAAAACAGATGTTTATTGTATCTCCACAGAACTCTCCTTAAGTTAAACCAAAAATCTAAAGAAATATACACTTAGACATTTTAAAAATCATAATAATCTGATGGAAATGAAATAAAATCACTATTAAATTAAAAAATGGAGATGAGCTTGCTCGGTGAAACACCTCGTATAATGGTAGGTCGATGCTGCAGTATAGGTACCTAGTTGTAACTAGAATGTTTCGTCAACCGCAGTCGTCGTATAATTATAATAAAATCATGAGATATCTGTCGTAATATTATATCGTTGTGGCGCTCACGTCGTCTCTCTTTAGGGCCCAGGGAACAGTTGAACCAAGCGAGCTCGTATCTGGACGGATCGTCCGTGTACGGCAATACACGAAAACTGCAAAACGACCTGAGATCGTGGACCGGAGGACGAATGAAGGTGTTCGTAACCGAGCACGGAAAACAGTTGCTGCCGCCCAACAAAGATCCGCTGGACGGGTGCAACGAAGAATCGGAAATGAAAAAAGGCCGTTACTGCTTTTTGTCCGGTAAGCTTCCGGTGCATCTCTAAGAAACTACTATTATACATCCGAGATATTATGTCCAACCACGGTATATTATGTCGTGTACATTTTGCGAAATTATTACTAAAAGGGGCAAATTAGGTATACCCGCCTTGCTGTGCCGGTGTCGCAGGATTTTAATACCCTCAAATGTTTTTACCCCCGGGGGTAAAATTAACCTAGGATATTTATACCCCCGGTAAAATGTTAAGGGGGTAAAAATATCCTAGTATATTTTTACCCCCCTGTCAATTAATTTTATCGAGGGGGTAATAATATCCTAGTATATTTTTACTGAGGGTAAAATTAACCTAGGATATTTTTACCCCCCTTAAAATTAACCTAGGATATTTTTACCGGGGGGGGAGGGGGGTAAAAATATCCGGAGGTAAAAATCGCCTGTTACAATTTTTAATATTTTTAGAATGTCCTTTTGTATAGTAAAATTGTCGTGTCCCAGTAAATAGTTTTGTATTACAGCAAAATAACTAAAGCCCTTGATGTTTGTTCAAATCTTCAATTTCATGAAAATTTGAGATGTGTAAAAAAAAAAATGAGCTTTTACCTTTATTAGATTTTTGGATTTCAGTTAGAATTCCATACGAAAAACCTTGTATTGAACAGTCAAGCTTAAGTTGTAAAATTTATTTCAAACTATTATGAACAATATACCTTGCATATAAATAATGCTAGTATAAACATTTGGTGAAAATTTTCAAGACGTAGGTGCCTAGGATTATTTCTTTTTGAATCACAAGAAAATAACAATATAGAAAACTGATTTTGCATAAAAAATCCCTGTTTTCAGCAATTATTGTTATGGGAGTGTTGGGAATTTTTTGCTTTTAACCCCCAAACTACCAATAATAGACTAATGTACTTTCCTACCAGAAAAGATACTGATGTCAAAAATCCAAGCAAATTTACTGCTCAGAAAGGTGATGGCAGACACAAAAAAAAAAATAAAAGCACATATTATCATATTGTTAAATCAATACCTTCATCGCTCAGAATCTAAAACGACGTATTTCACTTTTGTCGTTCTTCATGTGTCATTCGATGAACAAAGAACGACGTGGATTCTATTATTCGATTAATTTTAACCGTATGGTCACTATTTAGTACTATAATATCCGGCTTCGTTTGTAAAAATTTATATGGTAACACACTGACGCCAACACGCCAAAGACCGTGCCATTATCTGACGTTTGACATATAACTACTAATAACAGTGGTGAATCCTGGGGTGTGGAAAGTTGGGCATTTTTCACGCTTCCCCAAATTAAGCCCTGGATCCGCCACTGACTAATAACTTAGCGTTTAGGTCACTCCGAGGAGAATCGTAAAATATTTATATTATTGTATAAATAAATAGTAGGTATGCGTATAAAATATGATATATCATAGGTATACAAACGACGACGATATAATAAAGTGTCCCGCCAACCGTTTATTTATTTAAAATGTCAGGGTAATGGATTTTACGTCATCCCCATCCCAGCTTTAAATTAGTAAATCCTCGTGAGACACCCTATATCGTATAACATTGTATGATTATATAGTAGCCGCCACGTAAGGCGGGTTTTACTCAATGTTTTAGGGGAAGGGGTGATGCTAAATTTTTATGTATGAACACACACAGTTGACACACCAACTAAAGTGAGTATGTTTTATAAATAACATAGTTATAAACGTGAGGTGCACCCTATTGGGGGAAACGGAAGGACACCTCCCCCCAACCAGTGGAAAATGAAAACATGTATTTTTAAATACCGTCTGTTAGTTCCGAACAAATAATTATATGAATATAAAATATAAAATATGAACTTTACCTGTGGATTTTTTTTTTTTTTTTTGACATGTAGTTTAAATTTTGTTTTGTTTGTTTATATTATAATGCTATTTTTGCAAAAATCAAAATGTCGATAAACTAACGTCAAACGCGTTTTCGTTGACATCACAGGAGACGCCAGATCGAATGAAAACATGCACCTGACAACTCTCCATTTGATCATGGTGCGGCAGCACAACATGATTGCCGGTAGATTGTCGTCACTAAATCCCCACTGGGACGACGAACACATCTTTCAAGAAACCAGACACATAGTCACTGCTCAGATTCAACACATCACGTACAATGAATTTCTACCAGTATTGCTTGGTAAGTACACCTGTTGCTTACAACATTAACGTCTTTTAGCATTGGAAAAAAACATTAGGTAGGTACGTTATTCATCAGTGAGACTGTTCTATTGCAATCTATCGTGATGAAGCTGATTCTCAGCTATAGGTAACTCCAAAACCTGAACTCATCGTGTCACTCGTCAGTTTATCGTATTTTTGGGTACCTATGAAAACTATATGATTTTTTCGAATAAAAATTAAGGAATTAGAATACCCAAAAATCTCGATGAGGTTCATTCATTCTGTTGCTAACGTCATTGATTTAAGTTATTATAAATAAATTATATTTTACAATACTTTACTAGTTTCTTTATCAAATAAAATATTCTCGTGACGTTTAATTATTACAATCATTGCAGTTTTAATTATTTTTTTTTTTTTTACTCCCACAAAGTCGGTATAAAACAGTCCATAGAGATGCGTATTATCAATATCCCTGCAGCAATAATTCCACTTTTTTTATTCCGATCATAAAACGGTTGTTTAACAATTTCATATTTCTAGTTGTCTTTCTTTTGATTATAATAATACTTCTTAGAAAATTGTAAGAGACCGCTTTATGCTAAAAATAACTATATATTATATTATGTAGTTGTAGGAGCACAATCGAATAGAAAACGAGAAAATATGACACAAACGTATTATTTTCAGAGAGATAACATTTTTCATGGGTAATATTAAAATAGCCATAAGAAAAATGATTGTTTACAATTTTCATTGCGAAAACCTTGTATAAAGTCGAAACGTCATGATATAAACGAGTTATAGTACACAACTAAGTTTAATTTACCTATATTTTATTGTATTATATAATATATTTTACGATATGTTAAATTATTTTTTTTTTTTAAGAGACAGAATGAAGTTCAGAGAAATCAGGGATTACGACCAAATTGTCTTGTATTATTTTATAAATAAAATTCTTTATGTCAAAATAAAAGTAGTATGTTCTTTACGAAAGAGATATAATTTTGATATATTATGATACCTTATCGGGTAAGAATATGAATATAAATTGAATTTCATAAAGCAATAACATTTCTTAAGCATATTTTATGAATTGTAAAATATTTTAATCGTACACTAAGCTAACTACCATATCATAATATATATTATAATTTCATAATGATAGACAACTTTTTAATCTGCCTTTTCTTAAACAATATTTATAAAAGTAGATTAAAATTAAATGCCGATCCAAAAGTGTCCAAACAAGTAAGAAATGTACTCATTGTTAAGATAAATTTGTTTTTAACAGCTAAATTATGTTTTAAATTTATTATTTAAATATACATTCGACTACCTACATGTGTCAATGAAACTTTATTTTATATATATTCGAGTATGTATTTATTTTCAAATAAAATGTGTATTCATTAAATGTCGCTAAATGTCAAAATCGCTTAAAACTTTTCTAGACGTAATTTTCATAGTGGTATTCTGTTTGAAAAAGAAAATATGCCATAAAAAATACTAAGGTAAATTAAATTTCCATTATTTAAGGTTAATATGAACTTTTAGAAACTTTCTAAAAACGTACCTAAGTATAACTATATAATGTAGAGAATTAATGCCTAAATATATATAACATATATATTATGTAGGCTGTATAGAAACTATTCAGAAAAGAAACATGGCTCGTTTATTTCAAAGTTTTTATGCTTATTGCGCATGAACGAGTTATGTAATTGGATAACCTACGTCAAGTTAAGATAGCATGACTGATCCCACTTATTTAAAGTTACAATTATACAAGGGAAAAAAAACTTTCAAAGTAGAAAGTTTGCTATCTGCGCTGGTTAACAAGTCAATGTATCAACTATATTATTATACTTTGTCTGAAAAAATATAGTATATTAAACGATTTACTGGTATACTGCATTCAAATGAAAACAAACATATTTTTTTTCTTTTTAGATAGGTACTTGAAACGTTCTCATAAAATGATTAAATAACTTTGAAAATAAAACACGCGAGCCCGCTTTTATTAAAATCATTTATTATTCGTTTATTTAAGTTGAGTACATAATCTATATTCTACACTCTACAGTATATTATCGCAGGTATAATATTATTATTACCGTGAAACGTAACGCTTAAAATGTAAATGAAATGTCACTGTCCGATATTAAATCCGGCCGGACGGTTCGCAATAATAATTAATTACGTATTTTATAAGCCCGCAAATGGCTATAATAATATTATAATGATAACAAAACATGTGGTTTCGTGTTAATAATTGAATGATATTTTATTGATTTTTCGATATTTTATTTCAGGTGACAATCTCATGAAGCGCCTAGACTTATACTCTCGAAAAACTGGTCATTGGAACGGATACAATTCTACAGTGGACCCGACCATCAGCAACAACTTTGCCACCGCGGCCTTCCGTTTCGCCCACACACTCATACCGGTAAATCATCGCCACTTTTATAATTAGTGCGTGTGTATTACATAATATTATATTATAAAAAAGTAATATTGTGTTTTAAATATTTTACTTTCTTCAATAGCTTAGGTAAGTAGGTAACGAATTACATAAAAAAGTGTAGGTATAATATATCAGTGGTTGCCACGATAGTGTCCCAGAGGATGTACTAATATTTACCCAAACATTTATTTTATATTTATATTAGTATACCTAATAATGTATGCCTGGGGAGTGGGGACGCTTGTGCCCATGCTACATTTGTATGTGTTGTTGAAGATATTTCTGGGAGAAACCACCATATTTATAGATCACCTAAATCGTTAACCTTCTCTAGAAATTTGAAATTAACTTTTAAGTATCAATAATAACTAATAATATTAAAGTGAATCAAAAATGTATTTAGAAATAATCATCTAAATGTCAATATCCAAAATGATGTTTAAATCCCCCTCCCCCATTGACAATATTTTTAATCACTCGTTTTTTGTGATCTTATAGCCCCCTTACATATTGTTACATATTATGTTCCTAGAAATATCCACAACCCCCCCCCCCCCATTGAAAATTCCTGAGAACAACACTGGCCCTCGTCTTTGATAAAAATCGTGTTTTATACACTAAGCACACGATCAAACAGTGATCTAATGGTAATTATATGAATCGACCACGTTAATAATGTATCATGTTATTATTAATATTCATACTCGAGGTTTTGAATAGAAATATAAGAAAAAATGTGGCATTGATGATATTACAATATTCGTGACTAGGAATATTTGAAATTTAATGTGGAAATAAAACGTCTTATGATTTTAAATACTACCTTTAAACTGCTATAATATAGAAACGTAAAAGTCACTTTATACGTTGTATGGGTATTAGATAGGTACCTACCTATACATAATATAATATAATACGCCACCGAATATTATCCGTCGCAAACTGAAATCGTTCGTATAGTTAGTACTATAATACATAATATTATGTGCGTTTAACTACGGTAAAAAGTATACATATATATATATAAATATATATCACTTCGATATCCGTTTACCTAAAATGAAATTCAGATAGGTAATTCCGCAAAAGCCGCGTTTAATCCGAAAACAATTTGATATCGTATTAAGCGGGTATTTGGTAAATGTGTGTGTGTGTGTGGGTTATATATATACTCTTACCTACAGGCTACAAGTATATAGGCGCTCAAAGCGACCCGACCACTATGCACGTCCCCTCGCCAGCACCCGTTGGCCGATTGTGGCCGTGGGATTACTTGGGTTTTTATTCGAATATATTTGCAATTTTAATTTCGTTTGAACGATTTCGAGGTACAATTATTATTATAATATAATAACGGCGGTTGTAGTAGTAATAACGATATTTTGTTGAGATATACAAATATAATAATGTCGTCCTCAGAGGTCCGTATAATATACGACCCGATCTCTCGCCAGCCGCTAATAGTTCGCTCGGTACCTATATATAATATTTAACAAGGCTGGGCAAGTTAACGATTTTTTTTAACTCGTTAAGTTATTTTAAAATAATTAAGTTAAGTTAAAAGTTACTCGTATTTTTTTTTCGTTAACTTTGAAAAAAAAGTAACTTAACTTAGTGTAAAGTTAAAATTGGCTAATGTGCAAGAATAAAAAAATCCGGACACATAACATGGTTTTTAGATAGTTTTTCGTTACGTTCAAGAAAATTACTGGGGAAATTTAAAATGATACATAAAAGTAAAAACACATTCTAAAATTTGCATTATTCTTCGGACAAAAATTAACTTAATTTAGATATTTTTGAAATAAAATTAACTTGAAGTTAACACGTTAATCTTGAAAAAAAGTAACTTATTAAGTTAAAAGTTCATTTGAAAAAAAAAAGTAACGAGTTAATATTAACTTAACGTTTTAACTTAATTTTGACTTTTAACTCGTTAATGCCCAGCCTTGATATTTAATACGTTTTTATTATAATTTGCCACCGTCAAAATATTATTATGATAATGCGATAGTATAACAACCACTGAAAAACGCCAAAGAAACTATATATATATAATATATTATATAGATACAGATATTGATTCTCTGCCGGTTTCGTTTCGATACACACAACACGTACGGCTCACTGACGTACCTATATACGTAATAATAGCAATGGCGAAGAATACCGAACGACGAGAGAATAATATAATATAATTATTACCGTACACCAGGTATGCGTTATTTACGGTAAATACCTGTATCCGACTACTATTATATTATTATTATGTACACCTCACCTGTCCTGCGGCGAAACAAAACGCGATAAATGTATGACGCGTATGTGCATTATGTTTCGAGGGTTTTACGTACGAACGTATTTGAGAATGTTTTCAATATTTAATTTAACGATTTGAATCGAAAATCTATTTCTTGTGTACTAATTCGTGATTATTTGGGGGCACTAAAGCCATGTCGATGAATTTCAAACTAATTCGAACATTAAATACACCGCGAGAATGTTTCACGATTATTGCGAAAATTAGAAAACATTGCAACTATAGAACTTACATCCCGAAATAATAAAATAAGGTCCCGTATAACGCATAGAATATTTTAATATGATTATACCATTTGAATTCAAAATTTGAGGCATAAAAAGTAAAAAATAAGTGCGTTATGAATAGATAACATGGTAGTGATTCATAATCGTTTTCAATTTATACTATTATTTATTTTATCTGAACACAGTTATTAATCTTCTGCATATCCCAGATCCCTCCTATAAACTTTAAGAGTTAAAATTATTGTTATCACATTCACTAATAACTTGTTCCGACTTATCTTATCTATACTCAAATTAATTATTTCCACTCTGACATTTGGTATTGACCACATCTTCGAATCGCACGTGGCAAAGAATAATGCGACCGTTGGGCATATCAAATTATATTTTAAATGTAGGTTACCACTTACCGAACGAAAACAACATTTTTAGTGTAATATGTTTGAAATATAATGTGAGCATACCTCAATAATTCTTGTCGAAAACGTGTTTTGTTCTTTACCGTTTTCCATATTCCGTTAAAGCTGTATTGTTTCAAATATTTGGACTGCGCAAAATATATAATAATATATTGTGATAAAACATTTCCAACCGTTGTTTATATTTCTACATAATTGAAAATTAATACTCGTTGTATTAACTATTATTATAATTTATACCGATGTAATCAATGGACCGTAAAATAATAATTAATAGTTATTATATCCGATGTTATATTTTGATTTTTTAGCATTTACAGTTTTTTGGTTAGTTTAAAATAATTTATAATATTGACTATTTATCCTGTTTAAGTTATAAATACATGTGTAACTATAATACTATAGATCACAGTGGTGGAGCCAGAGATTTTTTTTTTAGAGATCACTTTTTTCTACCTACCTACTCAATATGTTTAATGTTATAATATTATAATGCAGGTATACATTTAACATAACATATATGTATTAGCATATTGTTGTAAGCCACGGATTAATGTATTAAATAATATAAATCTGGTAATATTTGTGTTGTAAACATAACAATTCATTTTTTATTCAAATACCAACCTAACTAGTATTACTGGCAAGACCATAATACGTCTTATAAATATTTTATTAAACACATATGACTTTTTTTTCGAGTTAATCGGAGGAATGAGGGACTTTTTCTCAACCATTACTTCTCCTCAAAGCATTACTTCTCCCCAATTAGCATTAATTCTCCTCAAACACATATGACTTAATATAAAACAAGCCATAGCCTGCTTATCTTAGACGGATGTGATAGCTGAAAACAAAAAAGATTATAATGAAAGCAAATTAATTGTATTAATGATAAAATGCATTAGGAATAAATGTCTGTAGACCACACTACGACAGTCCGTGCCCCCCCCCCCCCCATCATAGCTATTATCATTTTCAGATAATGTGGACATTTAAATTATAAATCAGTACAGTAAATTGTTGACATAGTTTTGAACACACAACAATAATAATTTATTATTACGTTGGCGATTTTCAATTTATTTTGTTCTTCAACACATCAGTGTACCGATATTGCCTATGTTACTCGCCGTCTTAGAAATATCGTAATATAAAAATAGAAAGCGTGCTTTGATAAATTTGGAGCATATAGTATTGTAATATAACGTTATTGAAAAGCAATCATTAGGACGAATCGTTGTAATATAAAAAAAATTTGGATGTCGGTTTACTCAAAGTATTACTTATGTGTCGTTAATAAAATGACGTATGTTCTTCTCTTCAAAACCACATACATTGAAATGTATTTCACTCTCATAATTGTGAATATAATAGTATCATTTAATACCATTTAAATAAATTTCAATGTGCATTTATCTATATAATACAATTCAATAAAAGGTAATAATTTCGAATGGCTTAATTTACTGATGAATGGTAAATAATGGATTTAACCTAATACAAAATATTTTGATATACCTACGTCAACAATAACTGTTTTCACAACCATAAAACAACAAAAATGCTAAAATATTTTAGTCTACTTTTGGAAACAATCATTTCAGTTTAAATCAATCGAAATTATCAAATAATATATATATATATATATGCATCGTAATTATTAATAATTTAATGTGCCATAAAACTCAAGTAATGGATGCAACATTTCCGTTTATCGTTACTTTATTAACTGTTAAAACTATTAAAACAAATTTTAATGTGGTTCGTTGAATTTATGACTTCATTTTCGAAAAATTGTGGAAATTCGACTGCTGGTAAAGTAATTCAGGTAATTCATACGATGTACCCTATCGTAATTCATAATAATATATGGTTTGATACACTATATAAACGCTATAGAGGCAAATGGCAATATTTGGATTAGAAATTAATTGATTGGTCTACGGAATCGTCTCGTACATTATAACATATAATATTTATATACATAATATATAATAGAATATTATTATGTAACATATTACATAATGGTATTCTATTATATGCACGAATTCGTGTACAAACATGAACGTAATATTATGTAAAATTTGACTTCGTGCACGTACTTCACTCGTACCTACGGTGCTGTATAATAATAATATATGTATTCATGCTAGGTAGTAAATCATCGTTTATATAATGTTATGTAGATACAAACAAATTTCGCATCGCGCCAATATTGAAATTATGATAATAGGTATATAGTATAATAATAATATAGTGTAATTCTAAATCGACAAGATACGATGTAATAATCATCACTCTCTGCAATAGCGAACGAACTATGAAAAAAAAATCATATCGTGATTTGTAGCGATAATGGATTGAACACTTGTCGTTAATAAGAACAGAAAAACCTTTAAGGCGCCCGGTGTCAATATGTAATTTTGTCCACATGAACAACCACAATCAACCAAATTTGATGATTTTTTTTAAAAAAATAGAGGGTAATATTCTACAGGCCGCATTGATATTCGTTTTTCAGTACTGTAATCTCAAACTTTAAACCACATCATTAAAAATAAAATGATTTCAAGCTTTTTCATTTTTTCATAAACTATTTTGTACTATTATTTGAAATAAAATAAAACATTTGAGTTCAGTAGGGTTTGTAGGGAGTCGGCTTCATTCTGATAAAAAAAATAGTCATCAAAATCCGACAATTCTACAAGGTCTGAGAATTTCTATGAAATCATTTTTGTTGATATAAATAAACATAATCATAGATAATACATGGATATAATACGCCGTATTAATCCACCCCCCCCCCTTAAATTGGCATCGGACCGTAGATTAGTGAAAAGTATTGTAATTAAGGTGGCAACTAAAACATAAAATATAATTTTCAAATTTTATAGAATTTCTGACAATTTTAAAAACTGGCACCGGGCCTTTAATCGCCAAGGGTAAATGTATAATAAAACACGTTCAAAGCGTACTTGACTCTTCCCTCCCCCCACCCTAACAAAGACACACACACCCCGCTCTTTAGATGGTTAGCTCTTAAACGACCAATAAAATGTGTTTATTTTTACAGAGCATGATGAAATTCCTTAGAGACAACAACAGCGATCCTGAATTTGTCGAAATGAGGAAAATGCTGTTCAACCCTTACAGACTGTACACATGCGGCGGCGTGGATAGTGTCATTCGAGGAGCGATGAACACGAGCGCCGGGAAATCTGACGCATTTTTCACACCTGAAGTAAGTTAGTAATTTTAAATACAGTGAATCGAATGCACCAAATAAGCCCCCGAAGAGTGCACCAAAAAACAATAAAAATGCATTTATGATCTCCAAAATAAAATATAAAATACACTACCTATACAGTATACAGAATGTATCAAAATTAACTGACCAGGTAATGAATACCTATGGCTCAGATGTCTATGACATTGTGTACTTTTTTTGTGCAACTAAAACTATACTAGAGTACCTATGATATAAATGCGATTCATGAAGTATGGATTATAAATATACAAACTTGTTTTGTTTATTTTTACATGTTTGAAATTGTTGAGCATAATATAAATGGATATTATAATTATTATTTGATTTTCTAGATTAAGTAGCATATATTTTATAAACTATAAGAATTACATTAAAAATGATCCATATCATCATCAATTATCATCGTTAATATTGTGTTTATGAGTAAGACCCTTCAAAAATTATGAGATTAGATAAAATATCACAATGGCGTTAACTTGAAATAAACAATTTTTTACTTTCAGTACATTTTTATAGCGATTTCGAAATATATGTAACTTTGGAAAGGTCACAGATATAAAATACTAGATAGCTAACTTGTCTAAATTAGGGTAATCGATGTTGAAGTTAGCCACCATATGCGTGTGGGTCAATGTTTACATAACTATCTTATCAATACTGTATGATAACATGATATTATTCGCACAGAATAAATTTTTTTTATAAAATATTAAAAAAATATAAAAAATATATACTCCTATTGTAATTGTTTTTAATGAAAGCACATAATATTATCCTTATTCAATTTTTTCATCGTCAGATATTAAAGTATTTTGACCATCAGATTGTTATCATGTCGTATGGATAAGACAATTATGTAAACATTGACCTACACGCATATGGCGGATAACTTCAATGTTCGATGCCTTGTTAGCTATCTAGTATTTTATATCTGTGGGAAAGATTTAATTTTCCAACGGATACCTAGATTAAAAATAACATTTTTAACGTAAACGTGCATAAATAAAATAGTATTATACATTCCCCTAAATATTTTGTGTTAAGAAAGCATTATGGTTGACATAACTTATACATTAAGCTGAAAAATAATGAATTTTCCTACTAATTCACAGCCCAGGTAAAATAATTTATGTAGTTATATGAGAGGTGGGGGGGGGGGAAATGATACAAAAGCATCGACAGTACGTAATCATAGGCGTGACTAGACTTCGTCGGCAGGAGCAGTCTAGCTAATAATCGGCGATACCTTATTAGTGAAATAAAAAAAGCCCTATACAACCAATTCGTATTTTTTTAAGCTCCCCTTCACAATGAAATATTTATATAATTTAAAAAAAATCTAAACCATATTTTTACAATAATAATCTACAGTGCCCTCAGAAATATTATTCATCTACAGCCTTGGATTACACCATCTAACTACAAATCAAAAACAATTCAACAATAATATCAATATAATACCTAGATGCATACTGTAGGTATACCGTCGTCGTCTGTCTCAAGTCTTTATAGTAGGTTTTTCCGATTTCGGAAGTCAGAAAATCAATCTTTGTAAGTAAATGGTAATTATAACGATACCCACACAAAAATCATGGTTTTTAAAAAAAAAAAAAATGTTGTAACCTTTCCGACTTAAAACTCGGTTGACCGGCACCTTTTAAAAATAATTGAAGGGGCAGCCCAGGCACCCTAGGCTGCCACCGTAGACACGCCTAAGAGTACGTTGTATAATACTTTGGTGCCGTTAATTATCGCGATCGCGAGTAATATACAATACATTATTACAATGAACATAATAATAATAATATGTTTACACTGGGTTTAACGGTTTTAAGTAGGTACCAATAATACTTAGGCACACCATGGCTTCGTCTCGGGGGATCGTCTATCTGTCTTTCTGTGCAAGGTACGATATACGATGTAACGTCGTCGGAACACAATTATTACAAACAGACGGATCTAGTCGAGACTTAACGGGAATTCCGGTTGAGATCTATACCCGAAGACACCAATCACCGGATACCCGGAATGGCTCTTGAAGGGATTCTGGTAACCTAAATCTCTTTACGCGCGCACAACTTGATTTACCTTAGTACGACTAATTAATTAACATTTATTGTCAGAATTCGATGCGTGTACACAATATATTGATTACTATTCATTCCTACAACGAACATTAAATATCCGTCAAACCGTTTTGTAAACGAACGATATTTCCCAATAATAATAATGCCACGGAGAATATACTGTTCGGTTTCACAATATCGTCGCCGATTTGTTATTATAAAATTATTAGGTACACAATATATTATAATATATTAGTATATGTACGTCAATTATATAGGTACAAATTAGTTTAAATTACCATATTTTAATTTAAACGTAGGGACTACTAGGGATTGCTGGGAGGTGTATAATAAGTAGTGTTCAGTGCGAATATTGATCGTAGCCGAGTATTGCAGTAGGCATTATATATCATTACTCTATTAAATTGTCTAATATTATAATATTATTGTAATAACACGAAATATATTGATAATCGAGATGGACAATGATCTAGGAAACATAATATCTACCATAATATTATATTATTATTATAATATAAGAACGAACGAGCACGATTTACGTTGTCTATATAGGTATGTGCTTACCGAGCCCGAAGCTAAACCTACGCCCAGGGCCGTATTTGAACATTTTGCTCCCCCGGGCAACATATTTTTCCGCCCCCCAAAAAGTTATTTCTTAAAATGTAAGGTAAATGTAAGGAACCTATTATTTTGGTTCATTATTTATGACCCTTAAATGTGGTTAGATTTTTAAATTTTTTTTTTGTAAACATTTTTTGTTCAATGAGTTAAGAACAATCAGTGATTCAAACAGAATTTGTCGATCGGACTTAGTTTCAACGTTATACACGAGTTTGCGAATTCCCATCCATCGGGAGTTTGTTTAATTAAATTTCTTTATTAATAATATAAATATATAATAAACAGTAAGTACAATAGGTAATTTCTGATTTCACCAAAATTATAAGGATAAAAAACTCACATTTAAAAAAAATAAAAAAATAAATATTATTTTTGGTATTTTGATGATGTAAGATTTTAAGGTTTTGAAGTTTTTTTAAGCTTATAACTTCAACAGAAAATTTGACCAACTTTTTTTTATAGTACCATCATTAAGCGTGGAAAACACACATTTTGAAGAAAAAAAATTCACGAGAATCGGTTTCCATCTAAACTCCATTCCTTCCAATATTTCATACTATCATCTATTAGTTATCTCTTTAATCCCTAGGAAAACCCATTTTAAATAAACATATTATAGTTTTTATAAAAAAAGTATACTGTATACTTAAGTAAAATAAAAATGAATACAATATTACAATGATTTCTTTATAAACGTTTATTTTTTTTATCTTATTGTAAATACAAATTATTGTACATATTAATTGAAAGAATCTAGTATCTTTGGTATCCGAACCGTTAAGGTTAATACTCATATTATAAAAATAAATTATAAACTGAAAAAAATGTATTATTTATTTTAATTGCATTTTTTCTGATCTTAATTGTATTAATAATCAGGACGTAGGTATAACGTAAAAGTAAAATAGACATTATTATAATTATGTTGTGTTTTACTTATTTACAACAACACTTGCTGCGGGCTGCTATCATGCCATTATACCTAAGTTATCCAAGGAATTATTATTGTTAGTATAAAAATATATTTGAGAGAATATCATCCTAAAATAAGCTTTAGAGAAATCTCCACCTAATCACAATACACAAGGAAAAAAACATTTTACATAATTTTAAAGTTATAACTATGTTGGCTTAATAATAAAAAAAGTTCATGAAAAAATTACCGCCCCACAAGTTCCACCAGGAGGGGCAATGGCCCACCCTGCCCCCCCTAAATACGGGCCTGCCTACGCCGTATTCCCTAATTCCCTATATTATAATACCATCACAGTTTTTACGGTGGCCGTCTGACCGGGGTTTTTTTTCGTCGCAGGTCACCAGACATCTTTTCGAGAAGAACCACGGGTCGAGGCGCACAAGAGGACAGTGCGGATTGGACTTGGTCGCACTGAACATACAGAGGGGCCGAGATCACGGACTTCCGGCTTACCCGCGGTGGCGGGAAACGTGCGGGTTTCCGAGGCCACGGAGTTTCAGCGATCTGGAAGGACACGTAGAACCGGAAACGCTGCAAAGGATATCGAAACTGTACAAGTGCGTATACGATATTGAGGTCCCGCGAAGCGACCGACAGACATTAATTGTATAAAGATCCTCAAACCTACAGGGCGACCGCGGTTTATCGAGGATAACAACTATACGTTTATGATTGTGAATGTAACATAAAAAAAAATAGCTGCATTGTAATTGATTAATAAGAAAGATCAATCGATCGATGATGTCTCGTGACGGGTTTTTTAGTGACGTGGCGTTTATCCAGAAATTAATAAATGCTACAATAGATTGCTCCGCGAGTTACTCGAGGACTGATAAGACTAAGAGTTTCTATAATATAATCAAACGTTCCAAGTAACCCCTTAACTATACCACATAGTAAGAATAATTAAACATAAAACAGCCCTTTGCGCTGCCCTAATATGATTGTAGATTTTCATTTCTTTTTCGATTCATCACCAAAGTTGAAAATTGTCCATTTAATTTTTAAGTTTCCGTTGTAATGAAACTTATCATGTTGTCTATCTATAATATTGATGTATAATTGTATACTTTACACTTCCCCTCTGAATATCCAATAAGTAAATATAATAATACGTCGACTGTTGGAAGTAGGAAAAAATTAAAACTAGGTGTACAAAACATTTTTACGACGTTTGAATTACAGCTGCTTATTATATATTATATACAAGCAGTACGGTTAAGCAGCGGCTAGAAGTTTGAAGGTGCTAGACCCCCCCCCACCTTGAATTTCAGGAATATTTCAAAAATGCTTTCAGTATGTTAACGTATTCAATTACGTATTTACGTATAACCGTGTATTAAAATTGTAATTTATTATATGGATGATGCTGCAAAAGGCATCAGCGCAGCAAACTTATGAGGGATTCTAGTTAAGCCTCCCCTCTTTATAACAAATTATCATCCCTCCCGCCCTGCATACTCCTGGCTAAGAGTATATTATGGTGTATAGGTACACTTAAACCGCATATTAATGTATTGTAACACACCGTTTTTAATCTTACCATTGAGAATAAAATCAATATAAAAAAAAAGGCAGGTAAGTGGATGTCGCTCAGCTGTACAGTAGGTTACAAGTTGGTCATTGTTTAATGGATTGTATTAAACTTGAATTCAATGATATAATATCATTGTATAAGAAAAACGATTCTGAACGGAGACGGTTTGTCAGTCTGTATATTTTATATTGTCATTAATTATTTTATTTATTTAATTATTATTTTTTTTATTCGTTGCTACGGTGATAAACAAATTGTTAGAAATTAAAATCCCATTTTAAGCGGTTTTTCGTAGTTTTTCAGTACTTTTTTGCGTGGCATTAAATAACTATTGAGAAAATCGAAAAATGACCTCTCTAAAGTACCATCTTGGTCCAATTTGCTAAAAGATAAGGTACTATATGTTGAAAAAGCACTCCTTCTGGTAGAAATTTTGTATACAGGAAATAAAAAAAAATAAAAAAATAAAAAAAAATAAACACCATTGTAAAACCACTAGCTTCCTTGCTCCGCTCAGAATCTAAAAGTGGAAAATACAAATATTACTTAACAGCCATCAATATATATACGGCGTGATATTGAAACAATCAAATAATGATATATCAACGGGTTTTGTTATTATTATTTTTGTTGTTGTTGTTGAATAAATGAAAGTGCTCGTGAAATATTTTATGCTTAATGGATGAATCATAAATCCATTATCCCGGATAATTATTCAGCAGATCCGGACCATGTATAGGTTTTGATCAGACATATCCGGCGAATTTCAATCCAGCGGTGTCCGGTGCACTGGAAAAATGTCAAAAACATTACCTTCAAATTTAAAAAAATCTTCAGTCGTAATTTAGGATGAAAAGAAATCGTTTAAAATGTCTCTAAGAACCACGAAACGGTCCAGTTTTTCGCCACGGTGTTTTTTGGACTAGACTGCAGTTTTCAATGGCCGGTAAACTGCAGTCATAGGTATGGGTGTAGGTAGGTACTGCAGCGATGTTATTTTAATTACAATATCAATTATGTATTTCATCATGTCAGAGTCGTTCGTGTGGCGTGCAGCACAAAGTTTTCGATTGAAATATATTTTAAGTTTGTAAACTCTAAACTCTCGGCGAACGTCGCATTAATACTCGACAAGCAATCTGGCAGAGGGATAAAATGGAATTCATTAAAGTTTGCCGCGGCTTGCAGTCGAGTTTTCCTATATATTTACGAACGCTCTAGCCACGTGTAACTGTGTACACATCATTATATATACTTACCAACTTGCTTATTCCTAATGCTTATTCAAAAAGACGCGCCGCCGTCGTCGCTTTTATTACTATGCCTATAGTAATAATAATAATAATAATAATAATAATAATAATAATATTATATCATGTTATAATATTACGGTGAAAGCAAATATTGAACGAACGAGGGAAAAAATCGTGTATACAGTACGATTATCATATCACTGAACATCGCGTGTGCATCGAATACGTTATGAGTGAGGGCACCACCAAAGTGTGGGTGGGGGGGGGAAGAAATATCCATGACCTCCTCCATCCAACCACTAGTATCGTCAGTTATAATTTTCTTTTACTCATTGTACCTGTATATGCGACACGCAGGTTTTACACAATGATTGCACTGCAGCTATGAAATTGTATATGATTATAAATTCACTTTTCTAAACGTTGGTAAATATTGTGTAAGCCGATTATATAGGTCCACACTCCAAAGTACAACGCGGTTATATCTACTTGTTATAGATTTGCACGCATAGGTAGGGGGTAACTTATTTTGCATAAGGCCGGATGATTATTTATCTCAAATACTCGGTTTCGTATATTATGAAGGGATAATGCCGATAATGTGTTTCTGATAGTTGATTATAAATTGACGATTTTACCTAACCTAAGTCCAGGGCGGTTTTGTGGGTGTTGGCATTGTGTTAATACCGAATTATGTCCATGGAATTTTTATTTTTACAAAAAAGTTAATATGTATATTTTTGGCAACTAATTTTACTTTAATTAGTTATGTGAAATGTAAGGGAATAGATAATACTTACAACAGTATTTCGAACTTTATTATAAATAACTATATTATATTATTTTTTAGTTTAAAACTGTAATACCTAAAATTTATGATGTTAAAAATTAAATTTATTTTACGAGGTGTTTATATTGCTATTATATACTATGAAACAGGTCGATCGACGATTTGGACCTGTACACCGGGCTGCTTTCAGAAAAGCCGCTGGAAGGAAGCATCTTGGGGCCGACGATCACTTGCCTGTTGGCCGATCAATTCCTGAGGGTGAAATCGGGTGATCGTTATTGGTACGAGACGGACGAGAAACCTCAAGCATTCAACGAGGGTGAATAAAACGCATATTATGATAATATATGATATAATAATATTATAGTAGGTATGAAAATATTCAGTTTGAATAAACAAAAAACCACTTGAACTAACCTACCCCTCCGCGTTCGTATTCTCTCTCGTAACACACAAACACGCATCCCTCTGACCAGGGCTGGTTTCAGTGTGTTACACCCCCCCTCCCCTCACTTACGACACCTGATTCATTTAAGTCGGCAAAATTGTCATTTTGATATAGCGGTCGGCAAATCATCAATTATGATTTTAATACAATTTATGATTATTTCAAAATTCCGATATAATTTATTATACCTAATACCTATTATGACCTAATATATAATAGTAAATAATATTTTAGAACTACAAATGGGTAACAAAAAATATTTATATAATATATATATAAATGAAGAGTGAATGTGTCAAACGTTCTATGTGCCAAAAACCAAAATGTAGAACGTTTGACACATTTGCTCTTCAAATATAATATTGCATTTCAATCATATGATTTTTTCAGTAGCATGTTATGTAAGATAAATGGTACTCAGCAAAAAATAATCAGATATTGTTGGTCAAAAAATTTCATTCATTCCATGCCAAGCGCATCGATTGAATACATATTTTGTTGAATAAGTGAATCTATAAAAAACTCGAAGGACTGCAAGGGCTGAATCAATTAAAGCTGTTTGGATATCATATGAACAAATTATTGATGCATTACAAGATATGTCAGACTTAAAATCTATGGATACAAAACATGTACTCTTCCATTAGGTTTCTCTAAAAAAAAATGTAGACTTTGTAATTTGTTTATCATTTATGAAAAATGTCATGTATAAAACAAAACTCTTCACGAGAAACCTAGAAGTTACAGAATTGAATATAATGGATGCTTTAATGTTACTTACACATACTATTGACAGTTTAACCAGAATCAGTGATAATAATATGGCAGTACATAATTCAATAAAAAGTGCAATAGTTTTTGGTCAAAAATTAAATATCAACCCAGAAAAAGATTTTAACCGACACCATCGAAGAAGATTGAAGCCCAAAAATATATACTCGAATGCCAGTACACAGTGCACAACCAATATCAAAGCTTTTTACAGAATGGATTTCAAAAAAGTATTCGATACATTAATAAATTTGAATTCTGGAGAAAATTGTATGTTGATCATAGAACCACTTGTGAACATACATTTTTATGGGAAAACAATAATTGTTCAATAGATGATTATTTGAAGAAAGCTATGAAAATATTCCCTCCTGCAGGATGTAATGAATCTCATATTTATGATTATGATGGAGTTATAACTGAATTAAATATTTTACACCATCACTGTATCAATAAGAACCTTTTTAAAATTAACTGAAATATTTAAAGTATCCAAATAATTGAAACATAATTTGCCTATTGGCAATAAGCTATGCAGATTGATTTTCACTGCATCGGTTAGTATACTGCATCAAACGAGCACACCTTCAGTAAAATAGTAAATTGAAGATTGTGAACAATTTATTGTTTACGTTCTACTATAGATCGCTTATTAGATTGTAACAAATATTTAACTGATGAAATTGATATTCGTCTCATGGTGAAACATTGGGATCTTCTTAAATAAAGACGACTTAATAAAAATATTGTAATTTTGTTTTAAAGACAATATTTTTTTTAATAAACACTGTTTAATGATTTAACAACTTGCATTAAGGGGCCTCATCGCTACTGCCGTCGGTTTTAGCTGAAAAGACCTAAAGTATTGACAAAGTTAAAGTTAGTTAACGTTGTCCGATTTTGACTCTGAAAAAAATGTTTAAATCACCAGAGAATTGTCTGTAGATCCTACGAAGCACTTTGTAAAATCTAAATTTATATTATTGTGAACTGTAATAATTGAAAACTTGAAAATATCAACTTTTTCGAATCGTAATTGAAATTAAAATTAATATTAAAAACGGCAAATATTTCGTACGATCTACAGATATTTTTCTGCTGAATTCAAATACTTTTTCAGAATCAAAATCGGGCGACGTTAACTAACTTTAATTTTTACAAAACAAATGTGTGTTTTTGTAAAATTCTTGTAGTGCAATTGATATATGGTTATCGAGTTATTGACATGTGCATGCGAGTACCAGAGAGGATACCCTCACGGCCTAACTTCATTTCACTCACACTAATAATCATTTACAACTAACACATAGATCCCGGGTGGCTATGACAAGATTAGCCTAAATGTTGCCCCTTAACTTCTTTAGTAACTTATTCAACCTAATTGCGGATATTATTAATTCATTGGATAGTATCTCGATGAATAACGATACAAATATCCTGTTTTCATGAGACGAACAAGTTAGATGTATTTATTAAAAAATTTACTTGAAGTATGTAAATTACTTGAGTCATTGAGTATGTTGAATAATATATAGTCGGCAAATCATAGTGAATACACCCCTCCCCCTTAAAAAAAATGTATAGCCCCGGCCCTGCCTCTGACGTAAGTGTACTATAATTATTATGGCTGGGTTTTCAATGCACTTTGAATTTTATCTACTGCAACAGGTACGATGCTCGTCTCTGTGCAAATCTGTTTCATGTCTGTTTGAATAGATAATAATTAATGTAAGTGGGTACAATTGCAGAAATTCATTTTGAGTTTTATTGCATTTTTAGTTTTTAATGTCATCTTTTTATTTTTATTCGCATTGTAATGATAATATTATCGTCATTTTATACGTTACACATTTAATAATTTCAAAGATGTTGTTTAAAGTTGAATGGAATTTTATTAAGTATAATATTCCACTATCAACGCAAACAGTTAAAAACCAAAATTTATATAATCTTGCATACGAAATACCATGTAACTAATAACACTGATAAAGGCCGATAGGCAATCTATGCCTACCTGTGGAATCCTAATGGTTAATACTTATAAAATCACTGAATACACATAAACCAAATAATTTGAATTATACATAGTAATCTATATTATAATCTACATGGTAAATAATTAAAATAAAATTATATTATTATATTTGTATGTAGGTACAATACATATTCAATTTCATAGAATTTGTTCCTAAACCATATATTTTTTTAGTGAATTTAAGTGGTTAATTTTAAATTTTCGTAAGGCATTCAGACGTTTTTTTAGACTTTTAAATCATCAAGTTCCCAACCCTAAAAATAATAAATGAAATGATTCATTTGACCAACCATAACTACACTAATTTTAAAATTTCTAAATCCATTTTCATATTTATGGTTCTTGCAATAAGTTCCAAGTATACATACATACCCGTATGTTATGATGACCTTTTAAGTTTTTAATTTTGTAACCTGTAAACTGTAGCTAGATATACGTTCATAAAATATGTGTTTATGTAGGTATATAACATTTTTAACAATAGTATTTCCTCAAAATGTTTAAAAACTACCTACCCGTGTTACTTCTTCGGATAATAAAATTAAAAACTATTTAGTATGATTAAAAAAAAAATGTATTTATTCACGTGGTGATGTTATAATAATATAAGTAGGTAGGTATAATATATTATACGGACTTACCATGAAGTGAGTGATCCGCAAATAAAATAAAGCGAATACGCTCGTTTTTAAATTTTCCTATAGTTGAAATGTTCGGGTTTTTCCAAAACAATGTTTTTACATAGTTTGAAGGGTTTATATTTATTCAAGTTATGTACAAAGTTTATATCATACCCACTCGTGTGTTAGGTATATATATACATCGTCTCGACGCTCAACCGCATCTAAGTCCCGTATCGCAAACGGCGGTAAAGTATAGGTACATAATAATAATAATAATATTATTATTATTATACGTTGTTCTTGCTCGTCGTCGTATTATATTATATGTTCGTTTCCGATCAATATGCATCGTCGTATACGTAATATACTCCTCGACTATGATAGACGCGGACAAATACAAACATTATAATAATATATATTAATATTTAATAAGTGTGCGTGTGTGTTGTATGCGAACAGATCAGCTGTCAGAGATCCGGAAAACCACGTTTGCGGCAATAATCTGCGACAATTCCGACGAAATCGAATCCGTTCAGCTGCACGTGATGCACAGCGCCCGGAAAGTCGGCAACGCCAGAGTCGGTTGCGACAGTCTGATAAAAACGTCTCTCGACCCGTGGAAAGAAGAGTTGGCCGCCCCTCAGGACCCTAGCGCCACCCCCCCACAGGTCGACCTGACCACGGCCGCTGCTCAGGACTCCACCACCGCCGCCGCCGAAGTCACGACCAGCAATAACAACGGATCGCAGTCGGCCGAAGTCCTGCAACCGGCCACGATTGTTGGCACGGCCAATCGATGAGGGCCACGCTTGCGAAAACGTAAATTTATTTCGAGTCGGGTAGCCCAAAAATTAAGTTTAAAAAATATTGAATAACACCGCCTACCCTAACCATAATATAGGTATAATAATATGTAACGGCCGTGTAAAATACTCATAATATGAACTCTGCAGGACTCGCGTGTGGCACAGAGTTTCGACATTATTATATTATCATGAGATTTTATTTTTACTCTTGATTATATTCGCTCTGACGACTGAGATTGGGGAGGGGGGCTTACGTGAGCTTGACTCCCTGGAAATAATATATAATATTTGAGTTAGTTTTCTTAATATTTATATATGTTACGTATAGGTAGTTTTTTATATTATAATTTTAAGACAAAATATTATACTCGTGCGAAATCAATAGCAATATTATAAATAACAATTAGTACGGTAAGTACTGATGAATGATATTATGATTATTGAATAATACTTTACGACCAACTTTGATCTCAGAACAAATTCTACCAATAAAACGGGCTAGTAAATAATAATTACTATAGTAGACAGTCGGAGCAAATCAGACGAGCTAGTGTACTATAATTATTTTTCATTAATAAAAGAAAAATGGGAAATATAATCTCAAAGAACAGAATAATCGCATATTGATTGATGAGCGAGGACGTCACACCCGCGTGTGTTGTATCTGTCTTACTATCGTACAACATAACATCATATAATATGAGTTCAGCCATAGGCGTCATTTGGGAAAAGCGGTGATTAGCACCCCCAGTCTTAAAATTAGCACCTCCATAATTTATGACATTGGAGTGAACTAACCCATTATCGTTAAACTTAAAGGTAAGACATATTCCGTGGCTTGTTGGAAATGTCATTTCGATATTTTAACTTTGAAACTAGAAACCTATATTATAGTTAGTAATGAGTAAAACCAGTGTAAAAATGGTCATAACTCGATGCAGAACTCTTCTGACGAACTACAGAGTATGTTGTTACGTTTAAGTTTAAAACCAACGAAGCTAAAATATGAAAACTGCTGATCTTCATTCTGGTATACCTATTATGATATGCACTTCTCGTATCTAAGACGGAGACAACATAGTATGCAATTTGGATTTGGCACTTCCAATTTTGTGTGTAGTTAGCTTTGATACTTGATTGGATAATTATTACCTATTTATTAGCTTTGAAGCAGTTTGGGAGAGGGAGGGTGGTACGGAGGGTTTTGAGCAACACTTGTGCATGTGGGACGAGTATTCGTTGCTAAAAACAAGGGTGGTCATCCATCCGGGACGATGCTTGACCGCAGAACACATTATAGCGACTGCGACTGCGGCAAACCACTGAGCCACCTATAAATATATTATGTGGCACATTGTCACTCTTAAAGGTGAGAACATTATTTGCAATTTCCTGTTGGTTTTTTGAAATTTTTAAGTGAGTTATGAAAATGATTAAATCGTACTACTTTACATGCTCATAATACTTGCATGAATCATAAAATATCATAAAAACCACTGAGAGATCACAGATACAATATTCTTTACCTAGAGTGTGTAAAAGTTAGGTAAACTTAATGTTCAAGCTAACTACATTGAATAGGAACTGACCAACGCACATTATTGCCATGCTATACGTTTGTAAGACGGAGAAATCAATGCTTACTTGTGTGACGGCCTCTTAGAACAATAAATTAATAACTATAATAGATGTACATTAAATATAGGTATTATTAATATTTATAATAACTTATATATAATTATATTATATTATGTTTTATTGCATGTTTAAAGTATAATACTTATATAAATTACTACCTAGGTAACATTGAGTGTAGATAGTCTGTTGCACTAAATTTAAGCCCTCCCCCCGACAAAAAAAAAATACAATAAAATAAAACTATTTTCCAGGATCTCCCCTTTCAATACTCGCACCGATTTCCAAGCGGACACGATGCTCCACCGTCATAATTATCTTAATATAATATTATATAAGTGCGTACAATAGTCACAATAATATACCTACTATCATATTATCTTGTGTTAATATTGGGAAAGTCTAAAAAAAAAAATCCATTTCGTCGTGTCTGGTATTACGATAATTATTATTATAATATTATGACGTCTTTCACTGTATACCTACGCGCCTGGTATCATTATGATAGTAAATAATAATTTATATAAAATACGAACACTAAAAAAATGTAATAATTCAAAGTGAATGTTTTATGCGCGGTTTAAACAATATATTCAAAGGCTATAATACGAGACGATGAGACGGTATATAATCATTTCTTTGATGTGCATTTTTATTGTGAATACTATTTTTGTTTTGTAAGAAAAAATTTACCGTCATAAATATTATAAGACCGTCATATGACAATTATATAATAATTGTTATCTTTGCGCAAACGTTAAAAACTACGATTTTTTTTATACCTATATAGCTATAGCTCTTATATGTGAATTTATTTATTTTTTGTTTAATTATAAACAACTTGTGTACATTACCGTTATATTATTACTATTTAGTGATGAGCATTAAAGTATACCTACAATAAACGTTGTGAATTTTTCGTGTAAAAATATAAGTTTTAATTTTTACGGTCCATAATATTATTATTATTATTATTTATTACCTGTGAAAACAATAAAGTGTAAAAATTTCAAATCACTAACACGTACCTATAATGGACTATAATTTGTTTTGCCGTAGATATATTATTATGGTGCAAGCCACGTAAAATATGTAACTACCACATTATGATAAACTGCTAATAAAATATTAATGTTTATGAGACACCTATTTAATAGGTAGGAATATTTATTTTTATTGGGTGATGAATTTAGTTGTTGAATAAATATATGTTAAATTAATTTTGTAACCGATCGTAAACCTTTTAAATTATTCTAAAAGCTCGGTTATGATTTACAGTTTGACGCAAAATCAAAAAAAGATCAGTTTGATTTCAAAAATCAGAGTTTGCAGTAAAGAACAAGTACTTTGGAGTGATTAATTAAAAATGTCGGCAGGTGTAAAACTTTCATTGGTCAAATAATCACAGAGGAAATTATATTAAGTCATTAAAAAAGCAGACCGCATTTTTATATTTGATTGCATAAAAATATCAAAATTATTCCCTACATAATATGCAGGTACCTATACTTTAAAGTTTAAACACTATAGTATATACAATATACATATATTCCAAAATACAGAATGTCTATTGAAAAACACTTACCAAGTCGTGGTTGGAGAGTATATTTTCTTTATTTTTATTTTTTTTTTGGGGAAATTATTAAACAGGTATTAGGTAGGTATATTATATTATTTCATTACAATAGGATTAAATCAAATTGTAGTGTAGCTAGACAGTGTTCGAAGCGAAACATTTTCTGAACTGCAACGCATTATTATTTTCAAGTACCTATACAAAATTTGAGTGGTCAATTTCTAAAATCATAACATTTTTTTAATACTTCAGAATGTAGGTACTATAATATCCTTATGGAACTCACCTTGTACTTTTCAGCCTTCTTTAAATTTAAAATAATTTTTGCTTTTGGTACCTACTTAATTCTTATTTACACATACTGTGTGTGTGAAACTAATGTGATTCAACAAAACCTTGAACAACAAAACCCGTTCACCATTTGTTGCGATATTAAAGAAAAATCTAGATACCTACAATTTAATATTTTTATTATCGGTTGAATTGTTAATTAATTTTGATGAATAACTGTCATTGTAGCATACGTTAAATAGATCACCCTGCACAATGTTATGTTTCATTATATTGGCTTAATCTTGTCCAACGTGTCCAAGACATACACAACAGGAAAATAATAGGTATGTAACGAGCTGTGACTACGTATATATTAATAATAGTAATAGTATATTAAATAATATATTATATTATATTGTATCAGGTAAAATACGATTATAATATATATATATTATATTCAATAATAGACATAAATGCTGCAGGGAGCACGTAACCCCGGTAATAGTAATAATAACAGCATCAATAAGGCCACATCAATAAGGCTGCATACGAATTGCATGCCAAAAAAAAAAAAATGTCCGAATTACATGCCATCTCTTGGAGGGGTCTTTCCGAATTGCATGCCATCTCTTGGAGGGGTCGGTCCGAATTGCGTGCCATCTCTTGGAGGGGACTGTCCGAATTGCATGCCATCTCTTAGAGGGCTTTGTCCGAAATGCATGCCGTACACCACACGTTTATTTACTATGCACTTAAACAACTTAAACTTTTTTTTGGACTTTCCTAATTTTTTTTAAAAAATGCATGTATAGAAACGCTCTTTTATGTATGGTTGTTACAACTGTTTAGTGATTAGTTTCTGGATTGAAATATTTTTATATCCGTGTAAATATTTTCCCAAACAGTATCTATATTGGAGTAATGTAGTGTATTGTGGTCTCGGTCTGTTTCACAACAGATTAATAATATTTTATTATTATGAATTATTATTATATATTATTTTGTTTATTTAAATTGTAATATTGTGTGCCCGAAATGTCAAAAAAAAAACCACCCAATTTAAAAATAATATTATTTAAAAGACACTCACTTGATTACTCTAAACTACAATAGTTTTATTTAACTAATGGCCTTTGTTGTCGATGAAAAAAAAATTGTTTTATATTTTTATGATTCTTATTCACTGTGTCACCTTCTACAATATTTATATGTTTTATTGTAATGTAACAAAATCCCGATCCTCCAGTTGAAAAGTAAGTTATGTATTCGGATATACCCCTCTAAGAGATGGCATGCAATTCGGACGACCCGATTTATATTTATTTTTTTGGCATGCAATTCGGATGCACCGATCAATAAGAACTAATTAATGGTACAGTGCGAACACATGATAGGTATACGCGCGCAATATCCATATTCTAGGAAAGACGAAAAAGCCATAAAAAGTACAAATAGATGACTTAGGAAACATATAATCCGTAATTAACATTAATTCATAAAAGACGTCAGA